ATATATATATATATATATATATAGATTTGAATTTGATTCTCTTTCAGTGTGTTCAGTATGTTGCAGAGACTGTTCTCTTTGAACTTTGTAATCCAATCAACAATAAAAATGAATAACATGAGACATGCCCTCTCTCATTTTTTTTTTCCATGCACTGTTAATTGCATTTTCTAAACCATTTCTTGATCTATAATGTTCATTGTTTCGTTATATATATTCAGGTGGTACGTTTGTTATTCGTTAAATATTTTGCAAACATAATTTACAGTTTTTATGCTAATATTGAGCACTTCTTTTATTTTTAAGTGACTTGGCACATTGATATGGAACCTAACAATCATGAGAATGATGGGGGTGAGTGTGATTGGAAGCCTAGAGTTCGCATGACATTTGATACAGAACAAGAAGCATATGATTTCTATAATACTTATGGAGGAAGGTTGGGCTTTAGTATTAGAAGGGGTTATGTAAACAAGAGCAAAGAGGGGCAAATCACTTCAAGGCAATTTGTTTGTAATAAGGAAGGATTTCGGGTTGTCGACAAGCGAGATTCATTAACAAAAAATCCTAGGCAGGAAGTGAGGACTGGTTGTCAAGCCCGAGTTGTCATTAAGTGGGATAGGAATATTCAGAAATTTTTTGTTAGTGATTTTGTTGAACAACATAATCATATCTTCGTACCAGCAGAATGTACGCATATGTTACCATCCCAAAGGAAGATATCTTCATCACAGGCAACCGAAATAGATTTAGCCGAAAGATCTGGAATCCGTCTTAATGCTGCATTTGAGCTCATGGGTAATGAAGTTGGTGGAAGGGAGTCGCTTGGGTTTACAAAACTTGACCAAAAAAATTATTTGAGAACGAAGAGGCAAAACAGTTTAGCATATGGGGAGGCAGGTAGCATTTTGCAATATTTGTGACAAATCATAGGAGAATCCACTTTTTTTTACTCGGTCTAATTAGATAACGAGGAGCAGATTACGAACATTTTTTGGGCCGATGCTCAGATGATCATGGATTATGGGCAATTTGGTGATGTTGTCACTTTCGACACTACTTACAAGTTAAATAGTGCACATAGACCCTTTGCGTCTTTTGTTGGATTGAACCATCATAGGGAAACTGTGGTATTTGGTGCAGCTTTGATGTATGATGAGACCGCCGATTCTTTCGTATGGCTTTTTAGAAGATTCTTGGAGGCAATGTCAAGTAAGGCTCCAAAAACAATTTTTACGGATCAGGATGCTGCAATGGCTAAGGCCATACCTATTGTCATGCCTAACACAACCCACCGCCTTTGCACTTGGCATTTGATGCAAAATGCATTAAGGCATGCAAATTCTATCTTCAAGGATAAGGCGATGAAGGATAAGGGGATGAAGAGTGTTTTATACACGTTTATGTACGACATTGAGGATGAGGAAGAGTTTATGTTAAAATGGGAGGAAATGCTTGACAAGTATGAAGTAACAGATAATCATTGGTTGAAGTTAACATTTGGGGTCAAGGAAAAATGGGGTTGGCCATATGTTAGAAATGCATGGGGTGCGGGCATGAGTAGCACCCTACTTAGTGAATCCTTTAATGCTTTCTTGAAGGATTTCATTCAGTCTGATCATAACTTAATGCAATTTTTCATGCATTTTGATCGAGTTCTGTCTGAGAAAAGGTACAAAGAGTTACAAGCTGAATATGCTCTATGCCAAAAGTTGCCCAGGGTGAATATTAAAGTGAAGATTATGGAGCAAGCTGCAGCTGTTTACACAAATAAAATTTTTGAAGAGTTTCAGGATGAGTATGTCAAGTCCCTTGAAGTCAACATTGAAGAAATTGAAAATGATGGTGAGAGTACCGTTTATACGGTTCTTGATAGTGATGGTATAAAGGTGAGGAAGGTGAGGCAGGAGTGTGATGATTCGGTCACTTGCAATTGTAGGAAGTTTGAAATGAAGGGCATTTTGTGTAGTCATTGTTTGAAGATCCTTAGAGAAAGACTCAATTTGAAAGAGATTCCTTCACAATATATTCTGAAGAGATGGACTAAAAAAGCAAGATCTGAAAATGTGAAAGATAGGTGTGGGCATGATATTCAGGTTGATGTAAGATTGCATCAAACTTCACGTTATAGGTCATTGATGGCAATATTCAGATCAGTAGCGTGTAGAGCTTCTGAAAGTGAGGAAACATATAATTTGACGGTCGAGAAAGCGGATGAATTAATTGCAGACATTGAAACCATGTTAAGCGCAAAATTCAATATGCCTTGTTCAGATACTATTCAACAAGAAAGCCCCCCCAACACATGCCCCGAAAGCTTTGAAGTGGATGGTGTAGCGGATAAAAATGTAGTCCAAGCAAAAGGACTGAAGAGAAAAGAGTGCACTAGCAAGGGACGAAGGCGGACAAAAGGTGGTTTGGAGCTTGCGTTGGCAAAGAAAAATAAAACAAGTTCACATAATGCTTCTCAAACTTCCATGTCTGTTACTCCTCAAACTCCTCCCTTATTTTCGGCAAGTGCTCCTGAAGCACCTCCCTTAATTCCTCAGTCGGCTCCTTTATTTTCAAGTGTTCCTCAACTTCCTCCATTCTCGCCGAGTGTTCCTCAAGTTAGAGCTTCTCCGTCTCAATTTATGTATCCCGCCTATGATGTAAGTTAGTTTAATAAAAAGTTTTAGTATGGATTTGTAGCTGACTATTATCATTTTAGATTGATATGTGTTTGTTATTGTTGCAGCCAAATTTTCTTCATCATAATATGCATTTTGCAATGCCATCAATGTATTCCGTCCATGGAACCTATCAAGCATTGCTTAACAATGCAAGTAGTTATCACTCGCAAGCTACAAATAGTCCCGCATGTAGTGAAGTAATTTTTTTTTCACCTTTCCTCTTTTATTTTGTCATTCATTCATGTAAAGTTCCATTTTATTTTATGGTTCCTTTGATGTAATGTTAATTTTTTTTTTTGTAGGTACTATATGGTCGTGGTCGTGGGCGTGGCCGTGGGCATGGGGATGTGGATCACACGCCAACATCTTAGCGTTATTTTGTTTTGGAAATTTTTGTGAATTTTTTTGTTGGATATGTAATATTCAAACTTGTCATCAAACTGTTGCTAAAAATTTTCTGTTCAAATTACTCAGTAAATGTTGCTGAAACTTCCCTTGAAATGTTGAAATTTTGATTAATTTGTAGTTATAAATTTCAAGTTATAAATTTCTTTTCGTAATTATTTTCTTTACTTCTTGTATTAATTCTGTTAAAAATGGTATGCAGGTAATTGCAGTGGTCGTTCGAATCCTACAATGGACAAGAATCAATTAATCAATAAAGGACAAATTAAATTTGTAAAAAGTAACAGATTCATTTATATAACAGGTACTTACATATTTTCTTGGGCAAACAAAATAGACACGTCCTTTATTTCCATTCGCATTGGTTCGTACAATACGCATGGAAGCTATTCTTTCACAATTACAAAACCTTTGCTTTAATCTGAAGTTCATATTATCAATAGAAGATGAAGCCATTTTTTTTTTCTGCATAAAAAACAAGTTATTAACAAGTGTGTTAGGAAAGTCAAGTTATCACAGTATAATTCTACAGATTTTCTTGAAACTGTTCTAGACCATTCCATCCCATAGCATTAATGCACCTCAATCATATAGCATAGGGGTTGTCTCAATGATATTTGCAACAACCACATCCAACATTTTCATAACTATTTAATAATTTGTCCACATTTAAACAGACACCCCTGACATGCAAACCAAGGAAGAGGTAAAGTACCCTTAAATAAGAAGATAAAAATGTTGCTTGTCTGACCTTGGACTCTTTGTACAGACCACCACCTGATCAAAAAAGAAGATAAAAATCAAACTCCAATTGCATCTCAGACAAGATTTCAGAGAGCAAATCCCCTACTTCAAAAACCTGAATCAGAAGATTCAGAATATCAATTAAATGAAAGCTGTGAGTGCACCTTTTCAGCAACCAAAAATGCTGAATAGAACCCAACACCAAATTGACCAATTAAACCATTGTCAGCTCCAAGATCCTTATTTTCCTACACAAACAGTCACACAATTAGTTTCAATAGCAATGAAAATATTGAGGTTCAGTCAGCAACTGATAATTCGAAATAGACAACGTGAAGAGAAACAAGTACCTTAAGAGCCTTCAAGAATTTCGAAGTACCACTCTGAGCAATAGTTCCAAGGCAGTCTAATTGAAACTCTTTTTATATCTTTATGATCTGTTACTGGATGGATATGTTAGTATCTTCAGCTTCTGGATGTCTAGAACCAATATTTCTTACATGCGGTCTGTATAATCATAATGTTTATTTCCAGTATTGCATAAACATGCCATTAACATAAAAGCAAATCACATTTGTTACACTTATTTGCTTATTCTTCAAACAAATTATGGATGAAAGTTGAATACTTTTTTAGCTTGCAGATTGCTTAATCAACTTCATATTAGGTTATTCTTCAAAATATTGGTGGCAGGAGTATATTGTTCTCCTTTCTCTTAATTACAGTTCTACAAACCATTATGATTCCTGTATGTTCTGCCCATGAAATCTGGTTACAATAATACAAAAGAAAGAGCATTGAGGAATTTTCTTGCTCATCCTTGAGCAATAGATGGCTTAAAGGATTAATGTGTTTTTAAAAACTAGTGTATTATAAACAGAACGCCAAAAATGGGGCGAAACATGTGCACACCCAAAATCCTGAATCCTATAAGCTATACAACCACTGGCATATACATATCAGCGTTTGTCTCATCCAATTACGTAGGGTTGGGTACGTAGATCTATTTCCTCCATTTGGTTGTTTCACAATCATATCCTCAGTTTACTTCAACATAGTAATGTTTGTTCTTATCACCTCAATTAATAGGACTGGAAAGTGGTCAAAAATTGATCTAGGAAATCCCCATTGTTTGAAAGAAAACTCCTCGACCCAACTACTATCTAATAGGAATCTGTCTATCCTACTACATCTCTCCCCATCTTGTGCATTACACTAGGTAAAGCTTCTACCCCTCATTGGCAAATCAACTAGGCTCAGTTGATCAATCATATCATTGAAGTCATTCATGCCTCTCTCCCTTTTTCAGCATCCCTTCATTTCACTTAGAAATCTAATTTTGTTGAAATCTCCACCCATGCACCATGGATTAGGAAAGGAAAGTTCAATCTCCTTAATACTTCCCAAAGCTGCCTTATCTTGCTAACATCAGTTGGAGCATAGACATTCACCACAGAACACTCAAAAGATACACCAGCATACCATGTCATTATCTTCATAAACAGATCTGTATAACACCCATACTCCTCCATTGGTAGTTCAGACTTCAGCTACCCGTGCGCCTGCAGCAATCCTCTCCAAATTACTACATTCTAGCTGGATTATCTTCTCTACCACGTTAGCCTCATTTCCACCAAAATCTATTCCAAGCGATTTCCCCATCTGGACAGTTGCTTTAGCCTCCTTAATCAGCCTTCCCCTTCTTCTATTCGATTCATTATTAAATGATAATGAATTTGAGATTGTAGCAGTAGTTGCTCTAAAGATGGGAAAATTCTATGAAGTAGTAGAACAAATGAGATGGGAACAGAAGAGTTCATTTAACAGCTAATGGACTAGAACAAATAGTGAAAGTAAGGTACGATTGGGCGTGATGTGTGCACAGTTCGAAGGAGCAAATTATCAAACAGTTGGTGTGTGAACATTCCAACTGAGTGAGTAAGAAAACAATGTTGGTGTTTCCCTTCTTTTTTTTCGTTTTCCAGGTAACCAAACAGAAATAAAGGGTGCAAATCAATGAACAAACTCATATACCAATTTTCGAGAGATTATTGAGTGTAAAATCTACAAGCAAAACTGAAATAAGATTGAAATACATATATATCTACACATATATATGTGTATAAAGGGTGCAAATCAATGATTTAAGCAATACATGAAATAGAAAACCCTAATTTCTTAGCAAGATGGGGCGACGGGATAGGGAATGAAATGAGAGACCGAAGCTTACGGCAGAGAGAGAGACTAGTGGCGACTGCGACGGTGGGGCGACGGGACGACTGCGACGGTGGGGCGACAGCGGGGCGACTGCGACGGTGGGGCGACGAGATG